CAGTAAAATTCCCGGAAATGTCTTTTTCTATAAGGGCATCAAAAGTGTTTAGCCAAAAAACAAAAATTTGACCAAAATTGCCAACCTGCGGAACAATGCCCGTTTCTTCGGTTTCACAATTTTGACGAGCGCCTGATTTCACCACACTGCCTCACAAATGGTCGCTTTTAAGCACAAGGGGGCTATCCAAAAAAATGCTGTTTTGAGAAAATCGAAGGTAAAGTTTTTGGATCCTTATTCAGTTTCTTTAAAAGACAAGTGTTTTCTCTACAACCAAACAAATATACACACCAATGAAACCAAACTTTTCCAATGGGTAGGGCAATGCCCACTTTAGGTGTAGGTCAAGATTTCTGGAAACCCCAGAAATCTGGGTTAGCCCATTTTTCCTTAAAAGTGACCATATAATATTATTAGGTATCCTCAAGAATCATCGCAGCTAGGGACACAAAACACTTCAGCAATGGCGGCTCGACTGCCTGCGGGCTAATACTGATCGCTACCTCAAGGGAAACACACATTTTTATTTTAGGTTTAACAGATTTTTTTTTTCTTTTCATAATCTTGTCGGTGGATCTACAAAGCACACTGACAGAAGCAAAGACGCCATTCCCTTTTTAAAGATGTGACTGCTCAATAGGCTTTTTTCAATCCTCCAAAGAGATCAAATGTATATATAGCTTCCCATTCTAAATTTTTAAACATTCAAATTTATCCAAAGCAAATTTAAAACAACATTAATTTCTTAAACGGTCTGGATCAAACACACATTAAGGAACAGCATGTTGGTTATAATTTTTTTAAGAATAAAAATTTTCCTCAAAAGTCCCCACATCACTGCTGAAAAATTTTGTCATTTGAGAAATTTACTGAGTTTTAAGCCAGAGCCTGCATAAAGATCTCCAGACTTAGAGAGCAAAAATGTAGAAGCAAGACTTTCAGGCATACATATCCCTCCTCCCTCACCCCCCCCCCCACCCCACCCCCCTGCCATTTCATATTTCATTTTTGTGCATCAATAAGTGTTTGTGTTTGGAAATAACTTACCATCCACAATAACAAAAGAAGGAAAAAAAAAGTTACTTATGAAGACACGAGAGCATTCGTTTCTTACTCATCATATCGTAGTCTGAACGAGGGATTTTTGCTCTTCACTGGAGTGACGACACAGAAGAAGGTAGCTGGGAAGCAGCACAAGAAACAACAAAATGTACAGTGTAACGTTTCAGCATCACAGATCGGTTTTCAACAAGTCCCGGGAACAACAAAACATTTGTGAAGTCAGCGCAAGCAGTCTGTGTCACCACGTAGACGTGCGCAAGCAGTCTGACTGATATCACAACTTCGCTCGCACGGTAGCAGTGTGTTAAAAGCTTCTCAAGAGGTGGGGAGGTGGGGCGGTGGGGTGGCAGCTGAAATTATTTTGCGTCTGATCCAGCATGATCTGAGAGAAATGAAACCCTTGCCGAATATAATATTGGAAGAAAGAACATCCTGTACACAGCATTGTCTGTCCATTAGTCGTTTGAAACTGGACATTTTATCATACATTCTCGTCTGTAAGTGTAAGCGAAAAAACAAAATAGCGCCAGGTTATATGACGACTACTATAAACTTTACTTTGTTTAGCTGAATATTTTCACGATGGTCAAACTTGACAAATCATACTTCTATGACCAACTCTGTACTTGGGAAAAACAAAACAAACCCCAACAATATAATCTGAGCTGCCACCCTCCCCCACAATAACGCTCAATGAGAAAATAGTAATTGCTATTCAGGAACAGGTCAGTTTTGTAACAGTCAAATGTATAATAATAGCACATTTAAAAACATTTCAAGAGCCACAAAAGCTGAAGACGAGAAGAAAATATTTAAGTACATTTTGTCTTCCTATGGCAGTCTTTGAGATAGATCTTTGATAAGTGAGAAGTTTGACAAGCACAATATTATAAGCAAAACATAATAAAAGTATAAAAACTAAAAAAGCAAAACTTCGTGGTGATCATTAAGTAACAAACATCTGTAAAGTTGTATAAAAATGCCCAATAGAGACCTGTTCATTCCTCAAACTTTTGTTTCTTTTTTTAATTAAAAGTTTTCTGTTTTATACATTTAAAAAAATACTAAAAGTAAAAGCTCCTGCATTTCACAGGCAAAATAGCAAGAACAAAGGATCTGTCTGCCTTGACTTCTATTTATATAATAACTTCGGAGAAGAGACAAAGTAGCTACCTGTTCTCAAGACATATTCATCGCCCAATGTTAGGAGGAATATGAGACATCCGTCGAAATTCGTAACAAAAAACAACAACCACATGTTGACCAACTCAGAGATGGGGAGACTGACTCATTCACTTAGAAGTGGCACAAAACGTTCACAACTGACAAAAACGCAATGTCCTTTGATCAAAAGGGTACATGACAATGATTTCTTCATCTTATTACTTTTATGTGGATGCTAGATCTATGTTATCTTGTACATCTGATATAGACAAACCAAGAAATTTACACGTACAAAAATCAGATCTGACAAATACATCCAAAAGTTACGACCAACATACAGAGTACACAAAGCTTTTGGATGGACACAGAAGAACCTAGACAGAAGAACATAGGCAGAAGAAGAACTACCGTACGCATTTTCCAACAACAGGCTGAACACGTGTTCTTCACTGAGACAAATCACCAAGATATTGCAGCACGACAACACACAGTCTCTTTATGTACACGTGAACAATGACACGGAGGTTACTGATGTAGCGTTATGTACACACACACAGAGTCACAGAGGTTACTGATGAACACACACACAGAGTCACAGAGGCTACTGATGTACAAACACACAGAGTCACAGAGGTTACTGATGTACAAACACACAGAGTCACAGAGGTTACTGATGTACAAACACACAGATGGACACGAAGGCTACTGATGTACACACACACAGAGTCACAGAGGTTACTGATGAACACATATACAGATGGACACCAAAGTTTCTGATGTACACATATACAGATGGACACCAAAGTTTCTGATGTACACACACATGAACAATGACACGGAGGCTACTGATCTAGCTTGATGCACACACACACACACACACACACACACACACACACACACACACACACACACACACACACACACACACACAGTGACAGAGTCTACTGATGTACACATAAATGGACACAGAGCTCAGAGGCTACTGATGTACAGCTTTAACACAGTGCTTGCCAACCCGGGTGATATCCCACACTAGTGTGAGATTTGGTGCCTCTGGTGGGCGGTGAGGATCCCCAGTAGATAGTGACAGGCGTCAGTCAATGCCCCACTTAGAAATACATGTAGGTTGGTGGTACCAAAGTTCCAACTTCCTCAAGGTGGAAAAAGTGGGAGCTGGCTTCGAATAGGTTGATGTAGGTCGGTGGTGCCAAAGTTTGAGCCTCTTAACGGTGGAAAAAGTGGGAGCTGGCTTCGAATAGGTTGATGTAGGTCGGTGGTGCCAAAGTTTGAGCCTCTTAACGGTGGAAAAAGTGGGAGCTGGCTTCGAATAGGTTGATGTAGGTCGGTGGTGCCAAAGTTTGAGCCTCTTAACGGTGGAAAAAGTGGGAGCTGGCTTCGAATAGGTTGAGAAAGAAGCACTGGAGTCAGGAACTTTTTCAACGATCGTGTTTTCAGTGACTGGAAACAAACTATTGCATGAAACTCTGGACGTTAACAAAGAAAGTTGATGCTGTGCTAAGAGCTGTGACTGGGGTAGGGAGGAGAGAGAGACGATGTTTTGTATGGGCAAACGTGAGTAAAGGGCAGAGCGGGGGGGGGGGGGGGGGGGGGGGGGGAGAGAGGAGGAAACAAAGGTTTGGAGAGTGATAGCTGTTGGCAAAATCAAACAAGAAAAAAGGTTGACCATGTTTCATTGCGTATAGGACGCGTGTAGGACGCGTGTAGGACGCGTGTATAGGTAGAGAGCAGGTACACTTGACAGCCAAAGTTTTGGAATAAATATTACGTTCAGCGGATAGGACATACCAACCAGAAAACTCAAGTAAAAGAATATGGGTCCCAAAGAATATACTACGGATGTACGCAGAAAAAGATTTCTCATTGCCACAATAGAAATGGTCTCCATCTCATCAACAATCATCTTGACTGCATCATCCCCGTCATACAAGCCACACAGGGAGCCAGTTTGTTTCTGGGTCAGTCACTGTAGGATTCAGCAATAACTTTACACAAGGACCATCTGGCCTGTGAGTATAGAACAAATTCCATTGTTCAAAAAGAATCTGACCAAACTTTCAAAGTAGAAGAGTTCTAGAGAGCAGTTAATAAAACATGGCCGACTAGTAAACACCTGTTACTTTTTGTGTTCTTAAACCCAGTCTGTTTATATCAATGTCCTACTGGTTACTCCTAATCATACAACCACCTCTGGGTTTTTCAAAAATCTAATTTTGTATCTCCCGGATTCTCTGGATCGATAACAACATCTCCCGGATTCTCATGGATAAGACACAGAGGCCACTTTGAAGCCCTGATTTTTGGTCTTACGTAAAAAGTTGCGTCCAATAAGCAATGATATGTCATATCTTTCAACCTTATCAGATATAGTTAATGTGACGAAATGACGATTCATAAAACATTATGCCACACACATGATGATTGATGACTCATGAGGTATACATGTTGATCTGTTACCTTCTCTCCTTTACATTCAAAAGAAAACATAAAATCTGGAACATGTTCATTGTGGGAGAGTAGGCGGGGGAATAAATTAATAAATAGACTCGCCGTACTGTACACCAGCGAGACTCGCCGTACTGTACACCAGCGAGACTCGCCGTACTGTACACCAGCAAGACTCGCCGTACTGTACACCAGCGAGACGGGCAACCACTCAACAAACAACAAAACAAAACAACAGGTACAAAAATCTACACGTCCCCAAAACATTTTTCAGAATCACTTTAGACCGTCATTTTTCTCTTCCTTTCATCTCCGCACTCAGCATCTACCTTTACGCCCTTAGATCTGCCTTCAAAATCACCGTTACACGTCGGGAACTCAAACCAGAAATTGCTTATGTACTTAAATAACAAACACCTTCTCAAAACAGGACTCTGCCCCAAACAAGGACAGGCGTTAGAAAAGATGAGTAGCATCACAGCGCAATGACTTCACTTTTCCAGTGTCAAGGTCATCCGGAACGGTCAGAACAAGGTCTACGGCTGCTGCACTGTTGAGGAAGATCCAAATGACCTCGTTCGTTCACCATCCACTGGAAGGCTGTGATAAAAGCCTGATCTACTTCCCAACTTATCTGACTGGATTCTTTTTCTCTCCCACAATGCCACATTGTCCTTCAGCACTACACACTAACACTCCACTTCGGCTGTGTCTGTATTTTGATTTTCTTTCTCTATAAATCAAAAGTTGTGAAGATTTCATGTGCATCCTTTCATCACTGCCTTTCTCACCCTGCATCAGGGTATAGGCCATGGACAAACACTTTCCACCTGTCTCGAACCTGGGCTAGCCTCTTAATGTTGTTCCATCCTTTACCATAATGTAAAAGAAATCACAGACAGTTCTGTTCTGATTGCCACCTAAAACTTTGCAGTTTAGTGTTGGACAAAGTCATGCTCATGGCTTCATATGCACACCAGGGAGAGATGTAGAATGCTGATGTATAGTTACAGAGTACGTGGGAGAGGTATAAATATTGTGCATCCATTCAACTTGCTCAATGCCTGTGTGTTGGCAAATAAGACAAAGCCAGCAACATATATATATATATGTGTATCTAAATATCTAAATATCTCAAATCAACAAGACAGCAAAGGAGACAAAGCTTTCTCCAAGATGGTACAGCAAAAACATAGCTCTATGATCAGCTGGTATTGTTCAGATCTTTGACTGTGTGTATTCAAGTCTGCCCTTCTATACAGACAACATAGTAACATTACCAGAAAGGAGGGGGTGGGGGGTTGGGAGTGGGAGGGGGTGGGGGTGGTCTGCATACTGGGTCACTTCACACAAGTTACATTAAAGATGTTTATCAAAAACTTCAACAATACTAAAAACAACTGGCAACGGTTTGCTCAAGTTACAGTTCATTACACTACGACAAGATTGAAACAGACTTGAATATTTATCAAAACAAAACGACTGCACAAAAAAATAGGTCACAGTGACAGAGATGACAGTGACGACATGCCCGGGACACATCAGAGCCAGCTGTTGGCTTAGACACACTGCGATCTGTAACGACTGGACATGTCTTCAACATACCCACTGAAATGATTCAGATGATTCAGGAGGCTGGCTGTCCTAACCTGCCCATCAGAGTCGACCCAGGTTGTATGGGATGATACATTTCAGAAAAACAGACGATGATACTCCATCAAACATCTTCCGTACGTGAGAACCGAACTCAATCTACACCACAGATGCCAGTTTAGAGACATGGTTTCTACAAGGACCATCTTTTCACTCACAATTCAATCTGAACAAAAGACTCCATCTTTCCCTTTTCAGATTGAGAACTACGACTACTCTTTACAAAAACTTTCACACCCTGCGAAATATGACCGTGGAACATTTTGAAAAAAAAAAGCAAATCACATTTCCCCGACGGCTGTGCCCATAAGTGAGTGGCATATGTCGTTGACCATCTTTACAATGAACTCACACATTTATAGTCATATTAAGCGTACTATCTCCTTAGTCTTTTACCACATGTTTTTGTCTCAGTACCTTTTCTTCATTGAATTTTCTGAACATTGATACATGCTACAAGCCAGGTTGTAAGTTCCCTGAGGCAGACAATATCTCCATTTCAAAGCACACACTGTCTCCTACATTATGGGCATTTCTGCCGCGACATCTCTGCTCCAATACATCAACAAATACATCAACAAATACATCAACAAATACATCAACAAATACATCAACAGGTTACAAAACACGCAGAACCAGCCAGGGAACTGTAGCTGTTCCAGAAAAACAAAATGGATGTCTCGTTTTAAAAAGTGACCGTCTGATCCATGCTGCCGATAAAAGTTCACTCACAAATGAAAATAAATGATTACGTCTCATTCTCCACGGGATTCTTCTCTGTCCTTCCTTTCTTTCTACAGCTACCTCCTCCCACGTGTTTACCATCTGTGCAGATACACGCTGTGCTTAATAACTGTTAATGTGATGTCAAGGGACATGACTCTTATCTTTACTGTGGGGACAGGATAATTAAGGGAGTGGCACGCCCTTGGATGACACCAAGGGTTCCGCAGGAAATAGGCGGAGATCGTCTGAGAGACTCACTGAGGTATTCAGTCGGACTGAGGACCACGACGAGGCAACACCTATCTTGGACGGGGGGCCCCCTGACAGACCCGACTCATGGGACCGCCAGGTAACTTTACATGTCAAGAGTCGGGTTGAAAACCCAAAACCTGGCCCACAGGGTGTTTGCTCATTAACGTTTACAGAGTTCATGGCTGTAGGTGGACCCTCGTGTCAACTGTATCAACTCAAAAGTTCCCTTCCCCACATGTGGATAGTTCAGTCTAACTTTCTGTGACACCGTACATCTCATTTCTCTACAGTTTCTACATCGTGTCTTTGCCACAGGGTATATATATATATATATATATGTGAGGTGTGCTGACAAAATGAGTTACTTCTCGCAATCCACAAATGGAGATATTGGCCAAAAATAGACATTAAGGTCCAATTTGTAGATTTTCTATAGATGCCATATTCTTAAAGCGTAACATGCCTTTAATCATTTGATACTTTTAAATTGTAAAATGTTCCCTTATAAGCATGATATATCTATTTCCATAGGGCCTGAATCCAAAAAGTAACTCTTTTTGTCAGCATGCTTCACATTTTATATTATAAAAAAGCTGAGATTCATAAACCCAAGGTTGAAAAGAAGGAAAGAGTCTGTGTAAAAACATCATTCTAGCTGTCCACAGAGGTTGACGTTGAGAGGGGAATCTCATGACCAAAGACAACCATGAACACTGGACTTGCATCTTATTTGATAGGAAGGAAGAAACTACAAGAACTTTGTCATTCAACAAAACTGGGATAGCTTCTACAAGACAGATCTAATGACACTACATGATCTACAGGAAAAAACCTGACATAACATGTAAAAATAAAATAAATGTCAGAATTGCCATGTTTAAAAACAAAAAGTTTGTGAAAGAGATTCATGACGATCGCATGGTAATTAGCACCCTGGTGAAGACAAGGTTTGATCTTTTTCAGTTTTTGTTAAACCAAATAACAAGCCACAAATGAAATCACTGACCTTCAGCATCCTCTGCTTTACCAAAACCGAAGTGGAATTACAGTTTTACCGTCAAGAAATAAATCAACGAAAAGACAGAAAGCACAAAGTTCCAATAAATAATTTCACAAGAGCGTACTCCGTGACAGTCAAATCTCGTCATCCGAAGGGAGTGACAATCATGTGATCTCTGTCGTGATCTTTGAACATCCTTGTATTTCGAACCTTGAGTATCCACTGAGGTTTTCGTGACTATAGTTGCCCGTTACACTCCTTCTCTCTCTCCCCCAGTGCACTAAGGTTTTCGTGGCTATAGTTGCCCGTTACACTCCTTCTCTCTCTCCCCCAGTCCACTGAGGTTTTCTTCACAATAGCAGCCCGTTAAATCCCCCTCCCCCCCGCCCCCTCCCCATTTCTCATTTCTCTCTCTCCACCAGCCCTGGAGTGAGTGAGTGACACCTCCTCTCTCTTCCAGCGACCAGCAGACACACACATCGCGACCTGCGCCTCCCTCCCTCTTTCTCCCTCTCTCTCCCTCCCTCCCTCTCTCTCCCCGCCCCGAGCTACTTGTTGTCGATCAACGTCTGCAGTCTCAGGACCAGCTCCCTCGAGATCTTCAACACTTGCTTTGCATTGTGGTGTTCCGCCATTTCTGAGAGGAAAGAATTGACACCGCATCGTTACACATTTCTGAGAGGAAAAAATTGACACCGCATGGTTACACATTTCTGAGAGGAAAAAATTGACACAGCATCGTTACACATTTCTGAGAGGAAAGAATTGACACTGTATCGTTACACATCGGCAAGAGTAAAAGACCCACAGCTTTTAAATATACAGTGGAACCTACTTCAGACCACCACCCATTTTTAGACAGGCGGTCCTCTTGGGCAGAGTCATTTATACAGAGATAAAACAGTAAATTAAAAAATGGGAAATGCTCGTTTGTACAGGTGACTGTTTCGGACAGACTTTTTTCAAAGTAAAGGTTGGACTGTGTGTGGTACTTCACAGAATCTATAAAAACAAGTCATTTTGACATTGTACCCCTCTTCACTAATGCTACACCTAAAGATCAACATCACAGCAGAAAGACGACAGAGATACTCAAAGAAAATTCCCCCACATGGGAAGGAATTGAACTCAGGTCTTCTCTGTGCAACAGTAACATGCCTAACCGCTGCGCCACAGACGCTGTGTAGCAGGAGATTTGGGCCAATGGTTGTGGACTAATTACATCTCCTGGGAGACATGCCGCTCTCAGATCGACAGAGGATGGCTGGAGGATATGGTGTTCAACAAATCGCTACTACAGAATAACAAAGTTTTATCTGCTCAATACTTTGCTTTGAGAAATTGGACCTCAAAATTTTCTTTTTTCACAATATGTCAAGCCTTTTCAAACGCAATTGTTTGAATATCTCGAATATAACGATTTTGATAGAGCAGCAGAGAGAACATTTGGTTTCTGACCTCATGATTCTAGTAACTCAAAACAACCACAAATGTCAAATAGAACTTTGTAATTTTTAGGTAGTGAAATTTAAAAGGAAGAACAAAAGAGGAAAAGTTGCACAAGTTACCATTGAACAAGTCCGTGAAGTGAAAACAGAAAACAAAAACAAAACAAGCTACCATTGAAAAACTCGATGACATCAGTAGGCCTACAGAAAAAACAAAATGTTAGACAAGTTACCATTGAAGAACTTGATGACGTCAGCGAAGAAAAAACAAAAAACAAAAAGTTAGACAAGTTACCATTGAAGAACTTGATGACGTCAGTAAAAGAAACACAAAAAACAAAACAACGTGCTCAAGTTACCATTGAAGAACTTGATGATGTCGGTGAAGTCCATGTTGTTGTCCAGGATGATGTCTCGGTACACTTGCACCAGGGCCAGGGCGATGAACAGCACGAAGTGACTGGAGGTCATGTGACGCGCCGCCCAGATGGTCTCCCACACAGAGAACACATCATCGTAAACCAGCTCTGTGTGTGGGGGGGTGGGGGAGGGGGGAGGAGGGAGAGAGACATAAGATAAGATAAGATAAGATAATACTTTATTATCCCAGAGGGAAATTTTCCTTGGCTGTACAGGACCGTAAAACGTCATGCAGGTATACATAAAAAGTTTAAATTATATATTACTCTAATTAAAATTCAATATGAAAAGAGAAATAAAGCTGACAAAATGTACGTTCACATCAGATGCATCATTCAACCACATGCAGGAATTTGATTACAAGACCTGTGGAGTTATATATATATATATAGATATATACATACTCTAAGAGCAACACACATCTATACTCATTTTGACTGTACAGGGATTAAAAAACACTTCTTCGTATACCAGCTCTGTGGGGGTGTGGGGGTGTGAGTGTGTGTGTTTGTGAGTGAGTGTGAGGGTTTGTGTGTGTGTGTGTGAGTGTGTGTATGTGTGTGAGTGTATGTGTGTGTGTATGTGTGTATGTGTGTGTTTGTGTGTAAGTGTGTGTGTGTATGTGTGTGTGTTTGTGTGTAAGTG